TCCCTCCCTCCCACACACATACACACACTCCTGGCCAAACATCCCAATGTAACTCCACAGGCTTAGAGACAAGCTTAAACAATGAAAACCTTAGTAATTGTATTCACACATGTTCATTCGATGGGACTAGTTTGGGGGTGCCTGCCTCACCCCCACTTTTTCCATGGAACATTGCTCTGTGAGGAAACAGCTTGTTTTTGCAAACAAAACAACTGCGTTGTGTGAAATTGTGGGTCTAAGGTACCTGCTGTGTATTTATGTGAGAGAGAGCAAAGATTTAAACAGAGGCATATTTTTGTCTCTATAAGTGTGTGTTGCAATTTGATGTTAAATATAACAGTCTCTAGAAAGGGAAGCCATAATACATGTACAACTATAATAATACATTTTTTTGAGGGGGGTGCACATTCACACAATTAACTAGCTTGGACTGAGGAACTGGGAGGTTTTTTTTGTTTTTTTTTAAAGCCAATTTATAGGGACACTACCCTGGTTTTGACCTGTTTTGCAAGCTGCCCACTTTTGCAAGGCCACCATATGGCCGGTGCTGTTGTTACGTAGGATATCCTGGGAGGCAGGGACACAGCCATATCTGTGAACCCAAGTTTAATGTGTTGTGGGAACCCAACTTCACGTTGAAAAATGTGTATATAGCGCTAGTCATCTGTAAATCTAGATTTTCTACAACACACTCATCGGGCGATATATATCCATGTTGGGTTAATCTCTGGGCGGGATTATATTTCCTACTTTCCGGCCAATTTGAGGGTCCAATTTTAGACCCAGGACTGAATTTCCACCCCCCGGGAGTGAAATTTTCAACCCAGTCTGGATTATTTTTCTTAACTCCAGGAACAGATAGTTAAGATAATTCTCCCAGGGTACTTGCATTAAAACCCAGAAGGCTGGTGTTGGCACCATGCAGGCAGAATATTTTAATATTCTCGCTTGAGTGCCAGTTTGTAATGTCATATTTTGGGGGGAGGGGGGAGGCGCGGGGGGGGGGGGGTTAGGTGGGAAAGATGCCTGCTGTCCATTTCTGGATTTCTGTGGCTCCATTGCTGAGTGGGGAAGGGACGGTTGTCTCCAGACCCCCCCATTGTTGGGCTGCGTGTTTTAGTGGCTTTTGGCTGAGGATTGGCACAGACAGGGTGGCAAAGCTTCTGTGCCCCCCCATTGGCTTCTCAGGGCAGAAGAGGGTGGGGGGGGGTCAATCGTGGGCCCCCAGGCCCTTATCCTCATCACTCCTCTCTGTCTCCCTGCAGCAGAGGTAGTCTGGAAGATGGCAGGAACGGAGGAAGAGTTTGGACTGGCGGCCACACCGGGAGATTCACCTCCAAAACAACTGAGCCCCGAAGACAAGGCAGATGGGCAATTGGGGGGCACCAGTAGCAAGCAGCCGGCCTCGCCGCAGCCAGCCTTTACCCAGCAGGTAAGGGGGGGCACGAGGGGGGAGGAGATGCTTGGCCATGGTAATACCAATAACAACAACAACCTCAAATGAACTCGGTCTGATTAGCTCTCCTTCTCTTTCTCTCTCTCTTTTCTTTCTTGCTCTTTCCTTTCTCTTTCTCCTCTTCCTTCCCATTCTCCTTTTCCTCCTTCCTTCTGCTTCTCCTTCTCCTCTTTCCCTTTTTTCTCCTCCCCCTCCTTCCTTCTCTTTTTCTCCCATCTCCTTCGCCTCCTCTTTTGATTTGCCATCCTTTTCTCTCTCTTTTTTTAATCCTTCGCTTCTTCTTTCTCCTCCCCTCCCACTTTCTTCTCCTCCTCCTCCTCCATCGGGCAGTTTATAGGAATAATTAAAAATTCTGAAGACGATTATCATCTTCACTGTTATTACTGTTGCCTTGCCCAGAGAATCTTCTGGAACATTATTATCCTTCTGTAGGAGTTCTGTCTCGAAGTGGGCATTAGGAAAGCCGAATTAAGATGATAATGTTATCGTGGCTCCTCTCGCAGCCCAAGGTTTAGCCTGGATTTGGTGTTATTTTTAATCCACTCCACCGAGACCTTCCTAAGGATTTGGTTAGGCAGATGTGGCTGAAATCATACTTTTGACCCCATCAACATCTGCCTATTATCACGGTTCACTGCACAGTCAGCCAGATGTTTTAGACGGGATTGGCCCTTTCATCCAGCTACGGAGCCCTTCCCCAAAGGCTCTGGGCTAGGCAGATGTGGATGTTTGGTGGTGTTAAAGGGATCCTCAGCAAGATATCAGCCCTTCCAAGCAGAGCCGCCTCTCGCAATTGACCTGCGGTGATTGTTGTCAATGCCCACGGTCTTCCAGTGGCTCTCCAGATGTTTCGAAACTGCACCCAAGGCGCCTATTAAAATTATGATGATTAAGTCCAAAGAGGGGGGGAGGGTCGCGTGGAGAGGATGGCGCTGATGAGGAGGGTCCAGGTCTCCTAACCGCGCTCGCTCTTTCTCTCCCCGCCGTCTCTGTTTTGAAATCCAACTCTAAACAAAGAAAACTGCCTTGATCGATGGCTGGGGGACGGTGGCAGAGAAAGTTCTCCGTCTGGGTTAAAAAAAACAACAACAGGTCCCCTTGGGGGCTCCTGGCCAGTTTTCTGCTTTTGCTCTCCCTTCCGAGGAGGTGAGTGGGAGAGAGCGGTGAATTCCCAGTTGACGGAGGCCGTTTTCTTGACCCGGGAGAACCGCACCTCCGCCGGTCTTCGTAACGGGGCTCCGCGCAAACCCAGCGAGGAACCCCCGAATTCCAGGTTTTGGGGGTGCCTTTTCAGAAGGTCCCCATCTCTCTCTCTCTCTCTCTCTCTCTCTCTCTCTTGCTCGCTCTTCCCCCCTGTAATGAATCCCGGAGGAAGCAGCAGCGATAGTCCAACGGTAGTTAGGTTGTTCTCGAAAACTACAGATTGGGATCCCCCCGCGGATCTAAACGAAAATTAACTTAGTCTTTCCAGTCCTGGAACAAACTGTGGTTCCAGGATCCATGCTAAAGCGATCCTCTGCCCTTCCTTCCTTCCTTCCTTCCTTCCTTCCTTCCTTCCTTCCTTCCTTCCTTCCTTCCTTTCCTCCTTCCCATATTGCCAACGTCTTTCCTTCCTTCTTTTCTTCTTTCCTTAATTTACAAATTGTAAAGTTCCTTCCTTCTTGCCTGCTTGTCTTCCGGCCTTTCCTTCTTTCTTTCTATTTCTCTCTTTCTTTCTTTCTTTCCTTCCTTCTTTCCTTAACTGACAAATTGCAAAGTTCCTTCCTCCCTTCTTTCTTTCTATTTCTCTTTCTTTCTTTCTTTCTTTCTTTCTTTCTTTCTTTCTTTCTTTCTTTCTTTCTTTCTTTCTTTCTTTCTTTCTTTCCTTCCTTCCTTCTTTCCTTAATTGACAAATTGCAAAGTTCCTTCCTTCTTGCCTGCTTGTCTTCCGGCCTTTCCTTCTTTCCTTCCTTCCCTCTTTTCTTGTTTTTTTCCTTCCTTCCCTTCCCCTTTTTTCTTCCCTTCCTTCCTTTTTCCCTCCCTCCCTTCCCATATTGCAAACGTATTTTCTTCCTTCTTTCTTTTCTTCTTTCCTTCATTTACAAATTGCAAAGTTCCTTCCTTCCTTCCTTCCTTCCTTCCTTCCTTCCTTCCTTCCTTCCTTCCTTCCTTTCCTTCCTTCCTTCCTTCCTTCCTTCCTGGCATGACCATGTCTAAATTTTCATTCAGGGAAAAAGCCCTTTCTCCCTTCCACCAAAAGCCAAAGGCGACTTGCTTGTTTTAAATGCAGACAAGCTTTTGTCCTTAAGGTAGAAGTTAGATCTGGTCTCTTTTGCTTGTTTTTATTTCGTTTTCTTTTCCCTCCTGCATTTCTCCCTTGCGCGGGGGGGGGGGGGTTCCAGGCAGGGCCACTCATGGGTGCACCTCTCTGTGGCTCCTTGCTCTCTGTCTTTCCATCCGTCCTTGCAGAAGGAAGGCCCAGAGTCAGCCTGTAGGCAAACAAGGAGGCCCTCTGCACCCATCTTCAAATGTACATTTCTGGCTTGCACTTTTGTAAGCGAGCTGCCTGCAGGATTTTCCTCTTGGAGCTGTTTTTATTTTTTGTTTTCTTCCCAAAGTCCCAACATCTGTTCGTTGGTGATTAAGGATGAAGGCTTCCTTTCTAATCTCTCTCCTTGCCTACCAATTAGGGGGGGGGGGGAGAGGGAGGAAGGGAGAGAGAGAAAGGGATTAAATTTTTCCTTCTTAGAAGCTGTTTTGTCTACACGTGATGATGGTGAAAGTATATTAAGCGTATATGCTGCCCGATTCTCAGTGATTTGTCATTAACATGAGGATGAGAAAGCCAAATTGTGGCTCCCTTGCAAGAGGGAAACTTCCTTCCTTCCTCTTTCTTTCTTTCTTTCTTTCTTTCTTTCTTTCTTTTTTTGTCTTTCTCTCCTCCTTTTTTCTTTTTTCTTTCTCCCTCTCTTTCTTGCTTTCTCTTCCTTCCTTCTTCTTTCCTTCCTTCCTCTTTCTTTCTTTTTTCTTTTTCTGTCTTCCTTCCTTCCTTTCTTTTGTCTTTCTCTCTCTCTCTTTCTTTCTTTTCTCTTTCTTCTTTCCTTCTTTCTTTTTTTCTTTCTCTCTCTCTCTTTCTTCCTTTCTCTCCCTTCCTTCCTCTTTCTTTCTTTTTTCTCTCTCTTCCTTGCTTCCTTTCTTTCTTTCCTTCCTTCCTTCCCTCCCCCCCCTCTCTCCCTCCCCCCCTCTCTTCATATTAAGAAGGCCTGATGGACAAATCTAAATTTTTCCACTGTCATCCTGAGGTTTCCCCTTCTGGTCATTCTACCTCTTCCAAGGTCAAATTGCAACTGAAAGCAGCTTCTATTTGTAGACATGCCCTACATCTGTGATGGTGAACCGATGGCACGGATGCCAGAGGTGGCATGCAGAGCCCTCTCTGTGGGCATGTGGGCCAGCTCCTCTTCTGGTTTCCAATACGCCCATGCCCACTGGCCAGTTGGTCTTCGGGTTTCCAGCGGTCCCGCGTGCATTCTGGCTTGGGCACTCTCTGCTGAAAAGGTTCACCATCAGTGCCCTACATTCTTTTTTTAAGCTGTGTGGGTTTCCTGCCTCTCTGGGCACTTGAGAAAAGCAGCCGTTTAATATTGGCCGTTGGTTTTAATCTTAGATGTGGCACCAGCTTCAATTTTGGGGTTCACTGGTATTGAATTGCTTTTGATGGAACCTGCCTTAGAAGGGTAGGCTGAGAGATGAAGAAAAGCCTTCAGTGGCCCAAATGGAGGCAGTTTGGCCTAGGAAACCATGAGTTCAAATCCCACTTTAGTCATGAAAGCTAACTGGATGACTTTGGGCCAATAATCAGGAGATGGTGAGTTCTAGTCCCACTTTAGGCATGAGAGCTGGCTGGGTGTCTTTGAACTCGTCCCTCTTTCTCTTTTGGCCCAGCCCACCTCACAGGGTTGTTGTCGCAGTAGGGAAAATAAAAGGAGGAAGAAGAATTGGTCATGTTCAGTGCCTTGAGTTATTTATAAAAATAAAAATAATAATAATACAAAATTTTATTTAAAAAAAATGGGCTGAGTTGGTAGGATTTTGCCTGTTAAGGTTTTTTTACGTCAAGATGTCATTTACATACTGTCTGTATTTATATATTATATTATACAATATGAGCAGTAAATCGTATTATTTGAACAGAGTGGTATTTATACAGTATTAAGGCTCTCGTATTTATATAACCAAAACCTTTAAAGATAAAGAAGTAGTTTATATCAATATGAACTGTGATTTCCAAAACGTCAATGTTTTTTTTTCCTTTTCCCTTTTGTTAATATTGTTATGCCTCTTAATACTTCACTTGGCTTTAATACGGTGATATTTATGCAGTGTTAAGGTTCTTGAGACTCCTTTGATTTGGTAAATTTGTATCCCCAAGGGAATACTGCAATGGTCGTTCAGTGGGGAAAATGGTCACAAGTCACTTTTTCCAATGCTGTGGTCATTTCAAATGGTCACTAAGTGAACTGTTGTAAGTCGAGGACTTCCTGTATTTATTTTCAGTGCCTTCAATCATTCTCAACCTGTGGCACTAACAATAATTAGGAATAGTAGTAATTATTAGTACTAATAATCCCTGCAGGCACTGGTGATTTTTTTTTGATACCGGTTCTGTGGGCGTGGCTTGGTGGGCGTGGCAGGGGAAGGATACTACAAAATCCCCATTCCCTCCCCACTCCTGGCAGAAGGGTACTGTAAAATCCCCATTCCCTCCCCACCCCAGGGGAAGGATACTGTAACATCCCCATTCCCTCCCTCCAGGGGAAGGATACTGCAAAATCTCCACTCCCTCCCCATTCCAGGGGAAGGATACTGTAACATTCCCATTCCCTCTCCACTCCAGGGGAAGGATACTGCAAAATCCCCATTCCCTCCCCACTCCAGGGGAAGGATACTGTAAAATCCCCATTCCCTCCCCACTCCAGGGGAAGGATACTGAGAAA